TACAGCGTGCATCTGCAATATACAGCGTGTATCTGCGGCGGACAGGGCTAAAGTGATCTTTTAATCACGTTTTTATTTATGTCATTCCAAATATAGTCGATGATTTTAAGAGTAGAGAAGTTTTATTCTGTTAGGCTTTAATAAAAATATAATAAACGAATAGAATTTTTATTTTCAATTTCGGCTCAAGCCTTCGGAATCTTCCCTCGGTAAATACTAAAAATCGAGTGAATTTTCGAGGTGACAAAGTTCGGAAAGCTGGGTTGGGTAGAGGAGTCGTTCCAGGTGCGTATAGCGAAACGAGCGACTTGACTTAGCCCTACATAACTGTAGAATTGCAAAAATAAACTTGATAATTACAAGTTGTCAACACATTATTACTGCTCAAAATCTCAGCAGTGAAAATAAATGAAAATTAATAAAGCAGGAAAATTAAACAGCCTTCATCAAGAAGATCTGAATTAACATATTGGGTGTCGGTAGAGTAAGTGGGCTATGGTTCCCACCATGTTCGAGATTCTTCTACAGAAACAAATATTAAAATACATTCAAATAAATATATTTCAAGAGTTTAAAATATATAGAGATAAATTATAAGCAACATGAAGCTTAAGGTTGTCTCACTTTTTCTGTATATTCCCCACAAGCACCTACCTTGAAATCCTTTGCCACGAAGCCGTTAAACGGTAATATTAATAGTTAATTAAGAGGCCGTAATACCACCTCAATTTAGAGGAAATAATTAACCTGAATGTAAGTGTTGGCTCCAAAATGAGTCAGTAGCTTATGCATATAAAATAACCAAGCTTCCTCATTAGTTCGAAAACATATTTAAGTTATTAATGGAAAAAAAGTCAAGGTTTAAGCACTTTAAGTCGCCACTGTTAGAGACAAAGCCCTAACTAACACTGCCATTGGCCCTCTCTGATTAAAGAATAAGCGAATATGCAATTACAATAAAAATATATAAAGCGAAAACAAAGAGTGCTCACGCAGACAAAACACCAGAAATTAGGAAGGGGTCGCCCCAAAAATTCCTGTCGGAGCAACAACGAGATGGTAGTTTCCACAACTATATCACAATGCCCACCACGCTATATACAGGTTTATACCTATGGACGATAATGGAGAAAAATAACAGACAAATTTTACCACCCCAAGAAATGAGGAAACTTCTAATCGTTTTTGAACGAGGTTTCGCCACATTTTTATTATGTTAATTTAAAATCATTGACGAGGAATGGGAAGAATGTTCCCATTTCCAAACCCCAAGCGTTGCCTATCCCGGGAAACGCTGGGTGCCGTTACAAATCAATTATGAATTGGTTTTATTTTTTTAAAGTGCTAAAAACAACCACGTGCTAAACAACACTTTTCCTGCTAAAAACAACCACCATAAGAACAACCAGCCTCTGTTCTCCAAAGTTCTTAAATATTGTTCTATTCTACTTCTATTTTCAATTCAAACTCGAAGATCTTTAAGCAGGCATGTGACCTTAGATAGAAGGCGCATTCTTCATGATCTACATACCGATAATTTCATATCCGCATCTACTATTCTACATGTTCTGATAAAAAATACACAATTTTTAGCAAGAGGTTCTGAGGCTGAAATAAAAGTAAACAAATGCCCCGTTCGATCAAATTAATAGTTACCTATTGATTATTTTCTATGCTGAATCGTTTTCTATGAAAAACATGGTAAACTATTTAAATTGTCAAACGCATTCAATTCTCCTATATAAAACATTACTAATAATAGCTTAATGCTCAGCTCAATTTTCTTCATCTGACTGGACAAGCAAATAGAATTAAATGAATTGAATCGAAGTGTGGACGAGCTGTAGCCGAACACATCTTGGACCTAGAGGGACCACCGACCAGGGGCCGAGGACGCACCTCACTCGTCCAATACAACACAGTTGTTTCAGGTATACATCTGAACAGGACAGCGGAGTCAGCTTCGAATATTAAGCCTGTCGCACGACTCTTCTCTTCAGTTCGTAACTAATATGTATGAAATTAGGTAGAAACATTTTAAAGCGCTATGGTGAGCATTGTTTTCATACATTTGCCTCCTGTTTTCAGTCAACACAGCAAGTCATTGCAATGGGAAATATTTACAGATTGTTTAAGGCTGGTTGTGAAAGTGCAGTGAAGTCTGAGAGCTCGGCTAGCCGTCACTCTCGAGCTTTGTAGTCTTTGCAATATGATATCAAACCTAACCCGTTTCTTGCGGTAACGGGCGGCTCCCAGATGGCCGATGCATGTAAAATGAACATCGATGCCCAACATTTTCCTCTATCAAATCTGATGTCATACAAAGTTTACATATATTTTGTTTCTGTAGAGAAATTATAAATAACTAGCTGAATAAGCATGAAAAAATCATATTGGTTATTTATGTACACGCAGAGTTATAATAAGTCAACGTAGTGATAGAATCCCACAGGGCTCCAGCCGAGACTACCCGAGGGCTCGCGGTTCTCAACCTGTGCCTGCTCAGCGCATGCGTTTAGGATAGGTTAAGTTTAAGGGTCATGGGCCATATGAAGCCTGTGTCTATTTTTATTTTTCAAAACCAATTTTTGTTTCATCTTTCTTTATGAAGAAGAATCCAATTCCTGGTCATAAAAACCTCTGCTTGTAAGCGAAACTAAACCTTTTTGAATACAAATTTTATCTCATTCTGTTTCATTTTATTTGTAAAATGTCAGAATTATTTCCTGGCTTTCTATTCTCATTGAAATGGAAAGTCTTTTGATTGAAACTCCCATGATTTTTGTTATGGCAGATTCCCTGATATTTAATCACAAACACACGCTTGTATTCCTATAACTCTATAATTTCCATGAACATTTTTCAGGTCAACTTCGAACAAGAATGAGCTCATGATCTGGTCATGGGTAGGTTAAAATATCGTTAATTTGCATGGGGATAAAGGCCAGTGGGTCAGATTACACGCACTCAAGAGATACAAGTGGGGGAGAGAGGGTAGCCCAGTGGTTACAGTTCAGAGTACCAAGATAGGTATAGAGAGGTGCGGGTTCGATCCCAGCTCTGTGCGCCAGTTTCTGGTCAGAATCGGCGAGGAGGCCGGGCGGTTAAGCACAGCAGAATTGTAGCAGTGAGTTGCGAGTTCGCGACCGAAACATGCTGTGAATGTTCTGCGATGTTAAGAATCGGCGACAGGCCTACGGCCTAATAAACGCTGAAACCGCTATTATTATTATTATTAAGCGAGACATTGTCAAAATAACTTTGAATTCTTTTGCCCTTGTGTGGAGTTTGGCTCGGGGGAGGGCGTATCAATCCTACGTCTCCTCTCTACTGGTGTGCAATGGGTGAGTGTGTCAACATTTTGACAATATTGCCCATTCATTTGCCTGTCAGTTCATCATTAGTTGCTGGTGTTCATTTTATCATGAATATTTCAGCGTACATCTCAAACGCAGTAACAAACGGTTGAGACAAGGAATTAAGTTCCTTGGATGCTTGGTGATAGAGACGATTTCCTGGACATTGTTAAATATTTACACATTATACAAAATTTTTGTGATAAAAAGGCCCTCCCATAGCAGGTATGAAGCGCAAGCAATCTGAAGCAATGCTAGACAAGCCAGCCTCGCCACAACGAACATAAATGGTTCGGCATTCTCCGGAAACTGTTCAACATCCATATTCAAGTTCTGAGCCAGGCAGAACTATGATCCTAACCGCGAGTTTTTAATTTACCAAAAGTTCTGAGTTTACCGTAAGCTGCGAGTCGACTGTATGGTGTATGTTCAGCGGTAACCGTAGGTTGAGAGACAACCTAAGTTCTGAGATGACAGTAAGTAAATTATTACGTGACGCTGCAGTTCAAAAACTTCAACATTTCTAAATTCACCTATTGAAAAATAGTACAGTAAAAGTAAACTTGCCTTGCAGTCATCATAGGTCAGTGCTAGCTTCAATTCAAATTCATCATAATTAAGCTAATTATTACTCCTTACCTCACAAAACGTAATTTATCAGAAATTGACAATTTCGTTTATCCACGGCAAAATGAATGCCCACACAATGAACTCAATGCACCCGAAGGACTAGAAACAAGACGTTCATTCAACCCTTGTATTCGCAAAGTGTCTCACCATCAAAAAACAAAACATGGAAACTTGCACGTGGCAAAAAAGCGTCATAATAACATGAGGCTACCCACGCGAATATTGTTCACGACCCCAACAGTTCCCCCACGTGTTACTTGCTCAAACTATCCGCAACATGAGTAAAAGAAACTTCAGCGGGACGAGAGAAATCTTCGATTAACTCGTGCTTTAGTACAAAAAAATAATCAGCAATAATATTTCATTATAAATTTACGAAAAAAGCACAAAATTTCCATTTTCTAATTTGAAAAAAATGACTCTCCTTTCATTTCATTGAAAAGCCCAAGTCCGGACATAATCTTTGATTCTCTCGGTAACCTGACAAGGAAATAAGGCAAGGCGCTGTTATGACTCATACTGAGTAGTGGAAACAATATGATTTATTCTAGGACAGCCTAATGAGAGCTGTCCCATTAAAACAATCCAAATGAAACGGCCCAACCGAAACATAACCAAGATTCCAGCCTGCGATGTGAGATAGGAATGGTAGTCTGTAAAGAGAACAGCAAGACGCTAGCGTGTGTGGCAGCCCCTGAACTGAAATAATGCGAATGATCAACTCATAAAATGCATGGGACATTTTGTCCAAACAGTGACACACTTTCTTACTCACCGCCCGTGCAGAGACGGACGTAGCACGAATACGCCCTTATACCGGGCTAAACTTGGGCAGGATCACTCATACAATGGCAAAAAGTGTATCGCTGTTTGGATAAAATCTCACTCATTTCTCTGAGAGGAAAAACACACGGTGCGCATCACCCGTGCCTGACTAAGAGGTAATAACAATACGGGTACAATATTAGTGTATTATCTTCAGCAGCAATAATATTTATAGTTTAAAAAGGCATGATGGAGTAGTTTGGTGATGAGTCACGCGAGAACTCTTCTAATCCACAACCTTCAGCACCTTCCCGATCGCGATGGTCTTTCCTGCGAACACAGCAAACAGATAATAAAATACAGTTACTGCTATATTCGATTACTAAGAAACGGCAGACCGATCGATTATTAGAAACGGCGGACCGGTCGGTTACGCGACTAAAAAAACCGCTGGGTTCGTCAATTAAAAAAACAGCTAGGTTCGTCAATTAAAAAAAACGCTAGGTTCGTCAATTAAGAAAAAACGCTAGGTTCGGCAATTAAAAAAAAAACGCCAGGTTCGGCAATTGAAAAAAAAAACATTACGGCCAAGTTCAGTTTAAAAACAGAATAGTTGAGCACTTGTTTCGGCCAATAAATAAAAGTTCACCGCTATGCTCGGGTAATAAATTACACTTGACTGCCAAATTCAGTTATAAAACAGCTGACCGCTAAATAAATCTAATATGACGGGTGATAAATGTGACGAGATATAAAATAAATGAATGTGATAGCACAAGCAATGAATACGACGGGCCAATTGCTGAATGTGATGACTGGCAATGCCGCGTCCTCACCTTCGTCTCTAAGCGTAAATCTGCCGAGCTGCGGATGATCTTTGAACGACTCCATACAGATGACACCGCTCGTCTCGAACCTCATGATTGCGATCTGCGGGCGTCGTGGAGCTTGTTAGAGTATAGTAGAGAATGGTCGAGAATGGTACAGTATGGTAGGGCATGGTAGAGTGTGGTAGTGAAGGGTAGAACATGGTAGTGAAAGGTAGAGCATGATAGTGAAGGGTAGAGCATGGTAGTGAAAGGTAGAGCATGGTAGTGAAGGGTAGAGCATGGTAGTGAAGGGTGGAGCATGGTAGTGAAGGATGGAGCACGGTGGTGAAGGGTAGAGCATAGTAGGGCATAATAGAGTATTGTAGGGTATGGTAGAATATGGTAGATATTGATAAAGTATGACAAATAATTGTAGAGCATGATAGAGAATTGTAGAGTATTGTAGAGCTTTGTAGAGCAGTAGAGCAAGGTAGATCATGGTAGGGTATGGTAGAGCATGGTAGAACATAGACATGATAAAACTGGTTCAGAACATGGTTGAATATTAGCTTAAAAGAAGTAGAAAATCACCCAAGAAGATCTAAAAAGGCAAAGAAGTAAAAGAAGTACAGAATTGCCTGAAGTTAAGAAGAAAACTTCATTAAAAAAATCTTAATACTGCAGCACTTGACCTAAACGCGCGCCGCTCACCTGATCTTGCTTAACAAATCTGGGTCCGACTTTCTGGGGCTTGTTGGTCTTCTTGTCCACGGTGCAGATGAGCATCTTGACCGTGACCTCCTCAGCCACAGAGTGGATGTGGCACACCGCAGAGTAGCCCGCGCATATGATGCTCTTGTGCTCTAATATCACCACCTGCAACACGGTAGTGGTGAGCATATGATGCTCTTGTGCTCTAATATCACCACCTGCAACACATTTTGTCCATCCAACACCCCAACCTCTCTGTTTTGTCCATCCAACACCCCAACCTCTCTGTTGTGTCCATCAAACACCCCAACCTCTCTGTTTTGTCCATCCAACACCCCAACCTCTCTGTTCTGTCCATCCAACACCCCAACCCCTCTGTTCTGTCCATCCAACACCCCAACCCCTCCATTCTGTCCATCCAACACCTCAAACCCTCTCATCCAATACCTCAACCTCTCTGTTTTGTCCATCCAAAACCCCAACCTCTCTGTTGTGTCCATCAAACACCCCAACCTTTCTGTTTTGTCCATCCAACACCCCAACCTCTCTGTTCTGTCCATCCAACACTCCAACCCCTCTGTTCTGTCCATCCAACACCCCAACCCCTCTATTCTGTCCACACAACACCACTAACCTGTCCATCAAATATGCGGCCGGTCTTGCAGGGGTTGAGGGGGTCGCAGAGGACGAAGCCAGGCGCGATATCGGTCTCCTCGACGCCGCGCAACTTCGCCTTGACGTTCTCCCCGCACGTCACGACGTTCACCTCGTCGTCGTCCCGCCATAGCACGTCCAGCGTCACGGGAGACTGCGGGGCAGGGGGGTCATGGGGGTTGGGAGACTGGGGGTTGTTGAGGGACTGGGGGTTATTGGGGGACTGGGGGTTGTTGGGGGACTGGGGTTTGTTGAATGATAGGGGCTGTTGGGGGACAGGGGGTTATAGGAGACTGGAGAGTGTCGAGTGATAGGGGCTATTGGGGGACAGGGGGTTATTGGGGCCTGGGGATTGTTGAGTGATAGGGGCTGTTGGTGGACAGGGATTGTTGGGAGACCGAGGGCTGTTGGGGACTGTGGGCTGTCAGCTGATAGGTTCTTTGGAAAGTGGGGGTTGTTGGAAGACAGTTTTTTTTTTGGAGACAGGGGATTGTTGGGAGGCTGGGGGTTGTAGAGAGACTGGGAAAAAAACGAGGTCTGGAGGCACATTGGGTGATCGGGATGATGGGGCGGTAAGGATTAAGGAGAAATGGGGTTGGGGTCCTTGCTCGGTGGTTTGCCTCCTGTGGCGCAAGGGGGACTCGCCCGGGGCCAGCAGCTGTTGGCCCCTGGAACGGCAAAGGATCCACCAGGAGGCGGGGGGCAATGTGGGATCAAGCCGCAAGGGGAGATGCCCAACATCCCCTCGCTCACAACAGAGGAAGATGGGACTAGCACCCCAGACCCCTCTTTAAAAACTTTCAAGGCGAGGGCCCCTCGGGGGCCCGCAGCCCGCATCAGTGCCTGTCAGACGGTGGCGAGCCGTTTTGGACAGGCTGGCAGCTGCCCTTAGGGTGATTGGACTCCGGTCCATTCACCCGCACCCCGGGCCGAGAAACTGGAGGGGGCGGAGGGGAGTGGGAGAGAGGCGAAGAGAAGAGAGGAGGGAAAGGCGTCACGAGGGTCGGAGGAGGAGGAGGAGGAGGAGAGATCGAGAGAGAGGATGAGGTTGTGGATGGGAAGCAAAGGAGTGAGATAGTGATTGTGACGTGGAATGTGCAGAGATTGTCTATGAGAGAGCATAATAGGAGGCGTTTGAGAAGAGTGATAGAGAAGATTGTGAGGAAAGGGTGGGAGATTACTTTGTTGAGTGAAATAAGTGCGGATGATGAGGGTGTGTTGTGGCAGGGAGAGGATGAGGAAAGAGTGGCGGCGGTACATGGGAAGAAGTCGGCTGTGGTTCTGAGGGGTGATGCTTTAGAGGTGTGGGTGAGAGATGGACAGAAGAGATGGTTTGAGGAGAGAGTGACTGCTGTGGATTTCAACTCGAATGTGGGAAGAGGGAATGAAAGGGAAGAGGCGTGCGGAAGGTATGGCATTGGAAATATGAATGAGGCAGGAAGGGATCTGATTGATTGGTGTGGGGAGCATGAGTTGGAGTATGTGAATAGCTACATGAGGTATAAAAGGAGAGGGACGTGGTTTAATGTGAGGTATGGTAGATGGTACGAGTTGGATGGTTTTGTGATGAGGAAGAGTGATAGGAGGTGGATGGTAAGAAAGATGAGGACGGATGGAGAATACGAGTTGTCGGACCACAAGCCAGTAGTGATGACTGTGAGAGTGAGGGGGAAAAG